GATTTCATTGACAGCAGTATAATAGGTACTTTGTCTGTAGGGTTGATTTCATTGACAGCAGTATAATAGGTACTTTGTCTGTAGGGTTGATTTCATTGACAGCAGTATAATAGGTACTTTGTCTGTAGGGTTGATTTCATTGACAGCAGTATAATAGGTACTTTGTCTGTAGGGTTGATTTCATTGACAGCAGTATAATAGGTACTTTGTCTGTAGGGTTGATTTCATTGACAGCAGTATAATAGGTACTTTGTCTGTAGGGTTGATTTCATTGACAGCAGTATAATAGGTACTTTGTCTGTAGGGTTGATTTCATTGACAGCAGTATAATAGGTACTTTGTCTGTAGGGTTGATTTCATTGACAGCAGTATAATAGGTACTTTGTCTGTAGGGTTGATTTCATTGACAGCAGTATAATAGGTACTTTGTCTGTAGGGTTGATTTCATTGACAGCAGTATAATAGGTACTTTGTCTGTAGGGTTGATTTCATTGACAGCAGTATAATAGGTACTTTGTCTGTAGGGTTGATTTCATTGACAGCAGTATTATAGGTACTTTGTCTGTAGGGTTGATTTCATTGACAGCAGTATAATAGGTACTTTGTCTGTAGGGTTGATTTCATTGACAGCAGTATAATAGGTACTTTGTCTGTAGGGTTGATTTCATTGACAGCAGTATAATAGGTACTTTGTCTGTAGGGTTGATTTCATTGACAGCAGTATAATAGGTACTTTGTCTGTAGGGTTGATTTCATTGACAGCAGTATAATAGGTACTTTGTCTGTAGGGTTGATTTCATTGACAGCAGTATAATAGGTACTTTGTCTGTAGGGTTGATTTCATTGACAGCAGTATAATAGGTACGTCTGTATGGTTGATTTCATTGACAGCAGTATAATAGGTACGTCTGTAGGGTTGATTTCATTGACAGCAGTATTATAGGTACTTTGTCTGTAGGGTTGATTTCATTGACAGCAGTATAATAGGTACTTTGTCTGTAGGGTTGATTTCATTGACAGCAGTATAATAGGTACTTTGTCTGTACGGTTGATTTCATTGACAGTAGTATTATAGGTACTTCGTCTGTAGGGTTGATTTCATTGACAGCATTATAATAGGTACTTTGTCTGTAGGGTTGATTTCATTGACAGCAGTATAATAGGTACTTTGTCTGTAGGGTTGATTTCATTGACAGCAGTATAATAGGTACTTTGTCTGTACGGTTGATTTTATTGACAGCATTATAATAGGTCCTTCGTCTGCAGAGTTGATTTCATTGACAGCAGTATAATAGGTAGTTTGTCTGCAGGGTTGATTTCATTGACAGCAGTATATTAGGTACTTAGTCTGCAGGTTTGATTTCATTGACAGCAGTATAATAGGTACTTTGTCTGTAGGGTTGTTTTTATTGACAGCAATATAAGAGGTACCTCTGTGTGGTTGATTTCATTGACAGCAGTATAATAGGTACGTCTGTAGGGTTGATTTCATTGACAGCAGTATAATAGGTACTTTGTCTGTACGGTTGATTTCATTGACAGCAGTATAATAGGTACTTTGTCTGTACGGTTGATTTTATTGACAGTAGTATAATTGGTACTTTGTTTGTAGGGTCGATTTCATTGACAGCAGTATAATAGGTACGTCTGTAGGGTTGATTTCATTGACAGCAGTATAATAGGTACGTCTGTAGGGCTGATTTTATTGACAGCAGTATAAAAGGTACTTTGTTCGTACGGTTGATTTCATTGACAGCAGTATAATAGGTACGTCTGTAGGGTTGATTTTATTGTCAGCAGTATAAAAGGTACTTTGTCTGTACGGTTGATTTCATTGACAGCAGTATAATGGGAATTTTTCTGTACGGTTGATTTCATTGACAGCAGTATAATAGGTACTTTGTCTGTAGGGTTGATTTTGTTGACATTAGTATAATAGGTACTTTGTCTGTAGGGTCGATTTCATTGACAGTAGTATAATAGGTACTTTGTCTGTATGGTTGAGTTCATTGACAACAGTATAATAGGTTCTTTGTCTGTAGGGTTGATTTCATTGACAGCATTATAATAGGTACTTTGTCTGTAGGGTTGATTTTGTTGACATTAGTATAATAGGGACTTTGTCTGTAGGGTCGATTTCATTGACAGTAGTATAATAGGTACTTTGTCTGTATGGTTGATTTCATTGACAACAGTATAATAGGTTCTTTGTCTGTAGGTTTGATTTCATTGACAGCAGTATAATAGGTACGTCTGTGGGGTTGATTTCATTGACAGCAGTATAATAGCTACCTCTGTATGGTTGATTTCATTGACAGCAGTATAATAAGTAATTTGTCTTTACGGTTGATTTCATTGACAGCAGTATAATAGGTACGTCTGTATGGTTATTTCATTGACAGCAGTATAATAGGTACTTCGTCTGTAGGGTTGATTTCATTGACAGCATTATAATAGGTACTTTGTCTGTAGGGTTGATTTCATTGACAGCAGTATAATTGGTACTTTGTCTGTACGGTTGATTTCATTGATAGTAGTATAATAGGTACTTTGTCTGTAGGATTGATTTCACTGACAGCAGTATAATAGGTACGTCTGTAGGGTTTATGTCATTGCCAGCAGTATAATAGGTACGTCTGTGGGGTTGATTTCATTGACAGCAGTATAATTGGTACTTTGTCTGTACGGTTGATTTCATTGATAGTAGTATAATAGGTACTTTGTCTGTAGGCTTGATTTCATTGACAGCAGTATTATAGGTGCTTTGTCTGTAGGGTTGATTTTGTTGACATTAGTATAATAGGTACTTCGTCTGTAGGATTGATTTTATTGACAGCAGCATAATAGGTACTCTGTCTGTACGGTTGATTTCATTGACAGCAGTATAATAGGTACGTCTGTAGGGTTGATTTCATTGCCACAATAAAAAGGTTACTTCGTCTGTAGGGTTGATTTCATTGACAACAGTATAATAGTTACGTCTTTATGGTTGATTTCATTGACAGCAGTATAAAAGGTACGTCTTTTTGGTTGACTTCATTGACAGCAGTATAATAAGTACTTTGTCTTTACGGTTGATTTCATTGACACCAGTATAATAGGTACATCTGTATGGTTGATTTTATTGACAGCAGAATGATAGTACTTAGTCTGTAGGGTTGATTTCATTGACAGCAGTATAATAGGTACTTTGTCTGTAGGGTTGATTTCATTGACACCGGTATAATAGGTACTTTGTCTGTAGGGTTGATTTCATTGACAGCAATATAATAGGTACTTTGTCTGTCGAGTAGTTAGAATGATTCTGCATATACGGTTATGTGTTTGAGCGATAAATATTTGCTCATTCAGAAGGATCATAGGTGATTTTTCTTTTCACGTCAAGTACAATAAAAAAACCATTGTTCTTCAAATTTTACCCGATTTAAACCATGAACGTGCATTATGGGAAAATATTCCTGATCTTGCTCATCTACATATCTTGCCATTTTTTTTACCTAACTCAGCAGACGGACAATTGTTTATCCTGACTACCACGTGAATGAAGCACTTGGAAATCTCCTAAAATTACTAAACGTAACACGTTAATTGTTTGCTTTTCTACGACTGTCTGGATAGCCACGTGATAAACTGTGTTTGCTATCGTACAACTGGTTGTTTGCTGTTTATTATTACGTATCTAACTGTTGATTATTACTTATTCAACTGTTGATTATTACTTATTTAACTGTTGATTTTTACTTATTTAACTGTTGATTATTATTCACTTAACTGTTGATTATTACTTATTTAACTGTTGATTATTACTTATTTAACTGTTGATTATTACTTAGTTAACTGTTGATTATTACGTATCTAACTGTTGATTATTACCTATTTAACTGTTGATTATTACTTATCTAACTGTTGATTATTACTTATTTAACTGTTTTTATTTCATTTGTCATGTTGGGCAAGATACAGTACGGTTGCTTCATTCCTTAAAGTCAACAGTCTAAACTTTTTTCCTCGGTAAGACTTATCAATTCGGAGATCTGTATGCATCAAAATTTTACTTAATTCATGAACATTGTACGAATAAAAAGTGTCACAACGATTCAAGACCGATTTGTCCCTTTGTCAAGCTATGCGTTGCGAAACGTTGTGACACGTTTGATTGTACATTGTTTGTGTGTAAAATAAAAGTTACACATAGTCAAAACTGTTTACCTCTGCATGCACATTTGTGAAACATTTCATCGGTTTGTCCTGATAAATAGTAAAAAACATAAAGCATATATATACTGGTATCAGTGCAATATACCCGGTGTGAATATCTAGGTCATATGTGTCTGGTGATCATACCGTGCACAACTTCTCCTGAACTCCATTTCTGCTCTTTACGATACTATTCCATTAAATACTCATACTTTTTTATGGATGTCAAAGACTCGATATCAAAATGAATGTAAGCATTCTAGAGATGGTTCAGAGATTCATTAAAGATACTAGACCTTTTTACTTAATTACACTTATTTATATATCAATTGTCACATGACCTTGCCATCATCACAGAATTATACGTTAAGTATGTGCTGTCCACCCGCACCATATTTCTATATCAACGATTATTGAAATTATAAAAATTACAGGCATTTATCATTATTTGTATAATATATACATATACGATGAGTGTAAACTATTCATTACTGTAAGGAGAGGGCGCTAATACATTTTGCCTGTTGCGCAATTCCTTTGTATCCAAGATATGATCAATAGATATTCTGAAATGAAACAAAATACTGTGCACATGTGTCACCTATTCCATAACAGATTGTGCTGAATCACTATATTGAACCAATCGTTTATAAATAGACCTGCGTGTTTATCAACACTTGAAGATAAAATATGGACTTTGTACCTGTTTTCAGATTTGTAAAACATCCGGGTTTAAATCTCTTTCTTGCATTTCGTCAGATACTCGTTTGAATGAAGGACAAACAAATAAAAATGTTGTGGAATTTATACAAGTTCATCTTCTCCGACAATAACTGTTACAATATCACAGCAGTTTGGAGATGAATAGGATGATATTACAGAAAGATGCACATCGTTATAAAAGTCTTAGTACTTCTTAGATATCATCATTAAACCTCATGCTTCTCACACGAACAAAAATCCCACTTTCTATGTTAACATTAAACAAAATCACATATATTATTGTAGTGTACATACCTAGTAAGAACTATATTAATCTATACTAGACATATCTCCTCCTCGTTGTTGGTAGAAGGCCAAGGTTATTACAGATAAGATTCAATCTTTTGAGTGTGAATTTCAGCTGCGTTTCCATCTACTTCTGTAAACGTACAACCAAAACGGCTTAACTTTATACAAAGAAAGTAACCCAGCCCGATAAAATGTCGAAAAGGGATTTTTACAAAGTTACGAAGATACCTAACTATTCTTTACTATTTAATTTAGGACATTAGATATTGCGATACCATATACATATTGGGTTCTCTCCAACGTTCCTGTATGTTCTTCAAACCTAACAATGCGCTTGGTAGAAATGTTATAATGTTGGTGTCCTCGACAACGATCACGTCACCCTTCAGAATAAACAATATTACAATTCTACCACTACATCCGGGACTGAACAAATATCCTACAGATTCCATATGATCATTATATCAACAGTGCCAATAACTCTAATGTAATGTTCTCCTCGTTGTATACTGCACGAGATGCTATTTCTTTTCATAAATTGTTAATATGAATATGTTAATATCCTCTTCAAAGTTAAGTTCTTTATACATTTATATACTTCAGTTATAAATCAGCCTGCAAAAGCTTCACAGAAAGCTTGCTACTAATTATCTTGTTCTGTGTGTGATTTCAGTTTTCAAACATATTGTAACAGTTCGTAATGTCGTGTCTCAATGGAGCGACCCGTGTTCGAGGGGGTACCCGCGGCTCCGTCCTGTTATTACCAGTGTTCAACGTGAGACGAGGAGGCAGAGATAAAATACCAGACAACATTTATTTACACATAGCAAGCGAAAGTGGACATTGTCAATGGTGCACATATTAGAACACGTACAATATATATATCACGTAAAATATCTTGTCACAACTACCACTATATTTACTGGACACATCCCCCACCTGCCTTAGCCTACATATAATAACAAGCCGCCAATCCACAGTCACCGTCCTACACCTAGCGTAGAGAGGAAACGATAGATAGAAGAGAAGAATAAAAAGGTGAGCCTACCAGCCAATGGCTTTTATAGACTAACGACCACACGACCACCCGAATGTATACCCAACAGACCCAACAGAATCCCGTGCTATACATGATCCTGACTTAATTCAATACTTTAACAGCTATCCAATCAAACCCCTTATCGTAAACATATCAACCAATGGACACAGCTCTATGATCGGAGCCAGGTGTGCGTCTACATCCGGTAAAACATAAGAATTATCAACATGTTATTCCATCCGAGACAAACCAGTACAGTATGGCAGAATATCAACGCTTAAATGAAGACCAACCGTCACATATATACACAAGGTATGCTTATACATTTACATTACGCAAAATGCATAACTTTTAATGAAGGACAGTGACAAAATCCTATTCCCGCTACAATATTTAAAAATAGATAATCTTCCGCTCATCAAAATAGACGATGCTATGCCGACAGTAACTGATACAAGACTCTTGCCTCATACATTGATGCATAGTTGGAACACCACTCCCGCTTACTGTATCCCCTCTCCTTGGTCAGCATCACAGCTGACGATAATAACAGGTCTAGGAGATGTTGGTGTGTAAAATGTGACTCCGTGTTATCGAAAATATAATAATATTTGCTTTCAAAAAATACATACTCTTAACTAAAGGAGACGAATTCACAACACTAATGGATTTAACAGTTTACAACAAAATATCATCGAGAGATCACATGTATCAACGCACGGGATGTATGAGCAAGATTCGTCAAGTCATAATCATCATTGGATGAACACCATTGTACATCACAAATATACTCACAATAGATACAATCACATACTCGACCGTATCAAATGCATCCTTGTTAATATTAGTGTTTACAAAGCAGACGGCCATCATCCATAACAGACGGGATATGCCGATACACAGTGGAAAGTACCAAGCCGTGCAGTGTGTACCGCACACGTCCATCAGCACGTTAGGGAAATACCCAACACATGATACAACTATGAATACCGTTAATTGACAAAAGCCTTTACCATCTTTAGTTTTGAAGGCTGATGGTAATGCGTTAAATCCAAAACGCCCTAAACCCAATGCCAAGGCTAGACGATAAATCCACACTCCTATCCAACATAACCACGGTATCACTGTCCAATCATCGAGTGTCTCCGAACTGTGCGCACCTGTAATATAGAAACGTACATTAAACAATGATTACCTGTAATATAGAAACGTCCATTAAAAAAGGATTACCTGTAATATAGAAACGTACATTAAACAATGATTACCTGTAATATAGAAACGTACATTAAACAATGAATACCTGTAATATAGAAACGTACATTAAATAATGATTACCTGTAATATAGAAACGTACATTAAACAATGATTACCTGTAATGTAATACTCGTTCATCACACGCCGATAAAACATGCTTAGCACGAAGTCATCTATTACATTAACACGAAAGAAGAAAAGCCACCATGAACCACCACATTAAATGGAAGAATTTGTTCATTTTAGTTTATAAAATGTGGTGATCATCACAACATCATTATATCTCATGTTTTAGTCATTTTACTACTGTTATATTGTTTGTTGTCCTTATTATAAGGTCTAACGGAAACGACTTTGTAAAAATAAAATGAAATATGATAATTCAGCAAACACGAAAAAGGCTCGTAAGGCGCAACTTTGTCAATCAACTTTGTCAGTCAATCTGTAATGACGTATAGTGTAGTACGTGTACATAATCTTTATGGAAAGAGTAGACACAATCTTATACATTACAGTAGAATAACCCATATCTATATCCACTGAAAACATAAATTGTCGTTACCTTGATTCTTGGAGTCATCCAGGTTCTCATTAATAATTTGAATTTTATCATTAGGTACATCACAAATAGTTCTCCCTGATGATGTATCAGACAAACTAGATAATTTTTTGACCAAAGCATTCGCTACATTTGTCAAGTTTACAAATGACGGACAGTTCCGTTGAGTAAGAATAGCATTGATTGCCTTTTCAACCCGTTGCAACCGCGCTGAATCTTTGTATTTGGAACTCGATGGCTCTGGCGTAGAGCTGTGCATAGATAAGAGATCATGGTGCATCAGTAATAACTTGTTTTCCAGTACAAATCCAGCTATGATGATGCTCAGAGTTAACATGGTAACTAATCCACGGTCAACATTATTCATCTCTACGGTTTCAAGCTGTACCTCTCACCTTCAAATAAAAAATACACACTTTAAAATTCCATCAGTTATCATAATCAAATGCTTCAACGAAAAAAATGTGTTATCTTTATTGGTCATGTGGCATGTACTAGTTAATAAAACGAGCTTCTGTTACGTGCTTGCATTACTTATATTATGTGTTTATGTCACTTATATTAAGAGTATTAGCTACTTATACTAATAAAACCTGTTTATGTAACTGTACGAATTCTACAAAGTTGGCGATGTATCGACACTTTCTCATATTTAAATAACCATGTATTCCGGGACGATAGACCATGCGCATGCTTCTCTTACTTTCCAACACACAATGCACGTGCAACGTTCTTCCAAAACACTCATTCTCAAATGTACACAAGCGAGTCGCAAGACTGATTTCTTTTAGTCTAATAAGGGTACATGTACCAGCATATATTTCTTGTATGTATTTGGATATTTGCTAGCGGCAAAAAAAATATGTCTATCTTACCCCTTGATATCTTAAAATCTCACGGTCTATACTGTTTGTTTATGTCGCTTGTTAATACTGCTGTTGATTTTAATATTTTGATGTTAGATGTTCACACTTAACGTGTGGCGTAATTATAATCGGGTGACATAAATTCGATTAGGATTATTAAAATGATTAACTAATTAAGTTTACGTGTTATTATTAAGAACACTTAATGTACATTAAACGTTTATAACATCAATCATCATTATCAACACTGTGCCATTCCAAGTATGGTTTGTTTTGAATAATAATTACAAAGAATTCTATGCATTTAGTCCAACTTTTCAGAGTATCGGTAATCCGTCACTTGCAATATCTACTTTACACAACTTGCATCATTGCAGACTGTTAGTCGAGAAAAGTAATACACTCTAATTGTGGTTCTTGATAGAGACATTAATTGTGGACAAAATTAATTGAATATATTAATTCAGCATAAATTCGGTTTCATTGTGTTCAAAGTTAGGGTTGTCTCGCCTGTTTTGTAACATTGTTCACATCTTTACATCAAAGTACTTTAAAATCAGTTTAACTCGTTGTAGGTTACGTAACATTTGTTGAACCGCATTGAAAGAACTAACAAAGGTGTGTCTGTTGTTTAATCCATTTGACTTTCACATGTATGTCTCCAACACTTGTTGAAATGAAAAGCTATTAGGTTTTAGATATACGCTGATGCTTTCATGTATATTAGTGAAAATATATTATCGGCCGTTCTTCAACTCCGTGAGTGTCTCATAAAACGACATCCTGTTTTCAAAATTAACGTAATTATTCCAATAAGCAATGTCTGTTTCGACCACAACAAAAGAAGAAATGCGCATTAAAATCCATTTCTAAGTTTAATGATTTACAATACTATTTTCTGCTGTGATAGATAAATTATTGTAGATAAGCATTTAATTAAACCATGCGAGAATAAATTCTAGCGACAAGGTTAGGGGCAACCTCGGGGAGTGTTATAATCATTTTTTTTATCATTATTATTATTATTACAAGCTAACAGTAATAAGATTTATATATATATAATTATATTTAAAAACGCCGCCGTGACTATTCTCCATAATTATGTGTATTGAAGATTTAAAAGAAACTGGTTAGGTATATGTAGCAAACCCTAGTGAAAGCAAGTGCTTTCTTTTATAAAAGCACTGGATAAAGTCTTGAGTGTAATCAGCCCAACAGAACTCAAAATAACAGTAGTGCATTGTATTAACTGATTTTCTATTCATATAGTAACAGTGATAGGGACCTAACCCGCGGGACTGGAAAGTTATCCCAAGCAGGCACTTTCTTTGAGGAAGCACTGGATAAAGTCAGAGTGTAATCAGCCCAAGAGAAATCAAGATATTGTGCATTAGTGCATTAAACAGATTTTCTATTTATAGTGACCCGTTGACCTTGGACCACTGGACTTGAAAAGTTATCCCAAACAGGCACTTTCTTTCAGGAAAGACTAGATACAATCTGAGTGTAATCAGTCCAACAGAATTCGAAATACAGTGCACAAACTGATGTTCTATTTATAGTAAGTGACCTTGACCTTTGATATCCAAGGCTGAAAAGCTATCCAAAGGCTTCAGCAAACATTGTATTACACTGGATAAAGTCTGTGAGTGCATACGGGCCAAAAGAGCCCCAAATATTGTGCATGAAGTGTTTTTCTATTTATAGTAACATTAACCTTGAACTTTGACATCGATGCCTCAAAAGCTACAATTTGTATCCTAAGCAAACACTTTCTAAAGTAACAAAGACCTTAACCTTTGACTAACAAAGCGCCAAAGCAGGCACTTTCTCCGATGTAGCACTTGATAAATCCTGAGTGTAATCATCCCAACAGAATTCGAAATATTGTACCTAAACTAATTTTCTATTCATGGTTTCAGTGACCTTGACCTTTGAACGCCACCCTGAAAAACTATTCAAAGCAAGCACTTTCTTCAAAAAAGCACTGGATAAAGTCTGAAAGCAGTCCAACCAACAGTACTGAAGATATTGTGCAGAAATTAAACAAGAAGCCCAATGGGTCTGTATCTTTCACTTGCTTCTAATGCAACTTTGATGCTGATCTAGGTCATTTATGTGGATGCTAAGCTCATTACCACTTTATTCAAATATAAGAGTATATAGGCTAGGTTCATTTAAATAAATTGTTTAGCCGTTCATCCCAACATACTATTGGCCCAATATCAGATATATTGGCCTCTTGGTTATTGAGAAGTCGTTTAAAGGTTTAAGCACATTCGACCCCTGTGCCTTGAATGTAGATCAAGGTCATTCATTTGAACGAACTTGGTAGCCCTTCATCCCAGCATGCGACAGGCCCAATATCAGGTCTCTGAGCCCCTTGGTTATTGAAAATAAATCCTTTAAAGGTTTCAACCTATTTGACCAATGTTACCTTGAAAGTAAGTCAAGCCTGTATGCTACAGGCCCAATATCAGGTCTCTGGGACCTCTTGATTATTGAAAAGAAGTCGTTTAAACATTTTACCTCATTTAACCCTTGTGACCTGGGCAAGGTCACTCATTTTAACAAACTTGATAGCCCTTCATCCCAGCACGCTACAGGCCCAATACCAGGTCTCTGGGCCTCTTGGTTATTGAGAAGATGTTTAAAGGGAACATTTGATGCCCGAGGGCCGGACGATGTCCAGACGACGGACGCCGCACCAGGGCAAAAGCAACTCCAGTCACAAACAAAGTTTCAAATTGATAAGGCAAGCAGTAGCGAAAATAAGTAAAAACAGAAGTTAATTTTGAAATTACCTATGTGCAAAGGGCCATAACTGCAGCCAAAAATGGAATATTAACACAGGGTTCGAACTCAAACTGTAATCCATTATGACAAAGCCACATATTAAGTAACAAATTGATGTTGCAAGTGGTAGCGAAACAAAGCACAGAAAGGCAGAACAGTGAAGAACGAAAGGAAAGATTTAAGATCCCAAGTGTGTTGCAATGCGCAAAAGATCTATTTTGATCTGTTCAATGTCCCCCAAGTAAGAGACATGAAAGAAAATTCCCAATTCTTCAGGGGGCCAACTTTTTGCCCATTTTTAGGATGCTTCTACACCAAAGTCAAATAACTTTGGCTACTTCAACTTCAACTTCTGACAGGTCAATGACCCTTGATGAGACTTATTTAGCTGTCAAAATCAGACCAAAAAATGCTGCATTAGTGGATTTGTAAACCACTGTAAACATGAATGTTGAACAGAAAAAAATTAACATTTAAGCGAACACAAATATTTCTTTTACAATCCTTTTAATCACAGGCTTAGGGAATGAACGGTTTAAATGTTGTTTGTTTATGTTTTGGTGGATCGAGGAGATACATGTATAACCTTTTTTTTAAACACAGTATTCTAAAAGATATGATTAAGGTTCCAGACTCTTTTCGGTTATCAGCATCTTTGAGGAAACTCCGTGTATTGTTGCAGAAAAAAGTCAACAAATAATATGAAGTGGAAATAGAAAGCTCAATTCCTGCTTCATATTTGTAGTAAAGTTGTCAAGGAATCAGATAGTTGGCAGACCTTTCTTATACATATGACTAAAAAGCGGTTGCGAGGATTTTTTAAACTCAAAAACAAACTGATTCCTATTCCTTATACAGTGTGGAAATACAGATGAACTGAAGGTATTGAAAATAACGTCAGGTAATTCGGGTAAAATGGACTCATAATTTTACATATTTATAATGTGTTTATACAGCCTCTCTTCAGAAAAACACATTCCATGCATGTTTTCAGCCTGTTTTTGTTGTCATTATCTGTCCAGCCTGTAACATCTCATCTTTGCTAACCGAGCGTTCATTTTGTATTCACATATTCATGTATTCAACCTTATTTGATTTAGCCTTGTTCTCTAAGCTTTTAAATTATTGAACCTGGCACAGGGACTTGGCACAAATTACCATCCCATGGACCACATATTTTGTGTATATCATACATTATATAATACACATACTGTGGGCTAGAAATTAATACCAAGTCCCTGTGCGTGTAAATAATAATGGCGGCGCCCAATACCAAGTTGCCTTGTCGACTATGTCATAATTTATGTAAAAATAAACCAAGGAGGACATTACTTAAAGAAACATTTTTATATTTGATGAGTTGGTAGAGATAATTGGCCATATTCTAACTGTAAATGATAACCAAGGGAAATACATAGGCGACCAGTGCTGAAATAATCTTGAAAGTTTAAAGTTTTGCTAGTAAAGTGTCTCTACTAGGTGGCAGTGGAGGGAAATTAAACACAAGGCTAAATCTGCCAAGGTTGAATAGTACAAATTTAAATTATGAACCCTTAGCTATTGAAGATGGTGAGATAACGAGGTTCGATTGTCAAATAAGATGTGTCTTCAGCAGTATGCTCAAGTGAAATTACACTATAAAGTCAGCATCAGTTCTGCGCTATCACAAGGAGACAAACATGAACATACCACAGACTCCCAAAACACAATTTAATTATGCACACACTCACCACACGCATGCATCTCGCAAATGGGAGAGGCTGTCCTAAAATGACCATGTATAGCTGTTGATACGAGGTACATTAAACAATACTAAACCAGATCTTATTTATTTGGATAGTTTCATGGAAATGATGACTTGTAATTTTAAACAAATGATTTGTGAATTTCATACATTTGATGCTCTATTACCTGACCTGGAACGCATTCGTAGCCATACCGAGACAATACAACACTGTGGTATAACTGTATATATATTGTGTACATAGTTTAAGCGTCTGCGAGACCAGCTGTACTAATTTACAAACATTTTACTAAGTAAGTTGTTTTAGTGCCAAATTTTGTACAGCATGATTATTTAGCCTCTTTATCTTAATCCTTCCAACGTAGGTATCTTGTGATAAAATTTGTTGTTTGCCTTTACACTGTTACAATGTTTCACCATTTATATATATATATATGTTTGTCGAAATACAAGCTCCTGAGAGCTTATGTTAACTATGACATATATTCACCGAAAAATATAGATTCTTGTATCTTGATGTTACATGCCACTATGCTTTTATCCGATAGTTTTGAGTAAAAAAACCACACAAGCTTTTAATCACGAACTTTTCCTCGACAATGCGCCTATGTATAATCTTCGGCACGATGAAGGACACAAGTTAAGGTATACTGTTGATGCCGACATGTACAAATGTATGTTAACTGTAAAACGAAAGTAGGTCTGCGCGATCGAAAACATTTTATACATATATTTTCGCACAAATGTCAGTCAGTACTTGATGTGATAGCAATGGATTAAACGAGTGTTACCAAATTGTGTTGTATTCTCTTCACGTCTGCATTTTAGAATCTTTGCAAAGACGTCATGTAAATACCACCCTTTTATTTGTTCAATTATGTGCACATTGCTTGTTAAATTTATGAAAGTGATTCGAGCCTTTGTTGTTTGTTTTCACAATTATAACCATTACTATTATCCATATGTTGTAAAGCGCCTAAGAGTAATTTTAAAAATTATATAGGGCGCTATATAAATGCTGTATATTATTTATTATTATTATTCTAGCACATCAGTATCTCAATACATACGGTATTAATCTGTTAATGTTCGATAATCGTGTTTTTTATTACTGTCCGTCCCGATTCTGTTCGTGAGTTATATTTCCGGGTCACGTGCGCTTCCGGTTACGTCAAAAATACATTTTTTCAATAAATGATGTCACAAAATCTTGATATTTATTAATTTAAGATAGTTTAAAGAATAAACGACTTCTCAAAAACAATATCAAAACATTGTAAATATTATTTTCTTGAATGTTTGCGAAGCAGACGACGTTTGATCATAATCTCGAAATTAGAACATTTTTTCCAAAATAAATGTGTTTTAACATTTGAAAGAAAAAAGTTTGACGGGGAAAAAATCAATTTCTTTTTTATGAATGAATGAAAGTGATACAGAAAAGAAATATAATAAACAATTGATATTAGATTTATCAAAAACGTCATCTTTAGAGAGTATGTTCTGGGCATGATCGTTTAGAAGCTGTGCAATACTGACTCTTTCAAACGCGCATCAGCTCGAGATCAGGTCCTATTTACAAAATGGCGACTGGAGGTAGCAAGGCGGATTAGATCGGAACTTCAATTGTGTTTATTTCGGCAAGTAAACATTGTTCAGAAAGCCCGTGTGGTCAAATCATCTCATTTAGTCAACATTTACTCAGATCAGTCGTTGTTTAGTCGCTATGGTCATGATCATTCACATAAAAATTAGGATTATTATATAAACCTATTGTAATTATTCCATTAATATGAATGAATTATTTTTAGATAAACCATATATCAACCATGTATAAATCATTGTAACTTAATTGCCATCAATAGTTGTAGTTTTTAGCATAAACATAATAGTAACTATTGATAACGATGCAAAAGGATTCTGATTGGTTGTAAATTCATACTTATGTTACAGACAAAATGAGCGAAATGTTCACTGTTCCAGGAAGTCAACTGTACACTTATGTTACAAACAACATATGTGCTTACAAGATGTATTGCTCTGGCCCTTTATCATCAGCAGAGTAACCAACACCTTCACTGTATTAACATTTTGACTGGCTATGCATGCCTTTTATATATATAAAAAAGACCGGCAAACTCACTGTACCAGGCAGTTAGTTGAGACTATCCCTATGTTATAATAAATAAAGTAAACAGTTAGATACGGCTATTCACGTTGTCTAACATGTTAACGTATTTTAACAGCTTGATACGTTACAATACCAGCTACAAATTCTAATTTCAACCATGTATTTTATTCAGTTGAGTTATTATGTGACTTCCACTTACGCTGGTGATAGAATATACCGAATATTATTTATAACTCTCATTAAAATATAAATGTGTTGTAGATGAACTGGTACTGTTATGTTCAACACCAAATTCACGTCCGGGTATATATCAAAACCAAACCCAATTGAACTTATAACCATATCAATAGGAAGGATCTCGCAGAATATTTGTATAAACCTTAGACTGAATAAAGTCTTCTCGTGTTCTTATCTGCCCAACGCAACATTTAACACGTGCACGGAATAAGATTAGATGCTATCTAAGTCCGTGATACATGTTATTCTATTTACACGGCCGCAACGTTTAACTGTGAACAAAAACCAAATGTTTGGTTCAGTATTATTTACATATATCACATTATTAACATAACTCGATACCTAATGATATTTCGTATCAATAATAATAATATATAACGTTACCAGGAGCCCAATGGATAGCTGTATATGATAATCAAGTCGTCTGCTCCCTTTCGGTGGTGTCGTTGTTTGTTATCGAGCAGTGCCGGTGACTACAGGTATGAGTTGATAAACAATCAATCCCCCAGGATTCCGTGGTCTCGCTCCATTTAGCGACTGGCATATAACACAACACATCTATTTTACCGCTAGCTCGCTGAAATGACGTATGGCGGTGGGCGTTTAATCAGTATATGTACATGCACAACATTACACATAATCCATGACAAAAACCAAAATGCAATCGAAATACATATATACAAAAAAAAACTCGTACATATACCGATAGTTAACAGCTTGCCGTCATCTGACGTGACCATTTTTTTGTTTACGCCGCAGTCTGACGTTGACTGCGCGAAACGACAATAAAGAGATACCTCGATCATCGAAATTAACCTGCACGCCCAGGAAAATCCGGAGATATCCCCCGGAAACCTGTATCCAAAAGCGGGACAAATATTATTTCCCTGCAAGTCCCATTCCTCTGAGGTGACATTTGGACCGCTGTCTACTCTTTTATAACAGACCTACTGAAACAAAACACCCTATACATCCTTAAGTTTAGAATGAACCGTACGTCCCGAGTAGGCGACTAGAAATGACCACGCTGACAACCACCCGTATACCCGAGTACACGTGACAGCCTTCTGCTGCTCGTGCCGCACGAGACAACTTATTCCCGCTTCTACTGCGAACCGCGGGAATATTTGATTCTTTGTAGCATAGTAATATCGACCTGCTTAACTCAGTTTTTGTTTCCTTATTGTATATTTGAGCAATCCTTACTAACTTTTGATAATGAGGCACTGTTGACTCATTTTGTCTGCTCCACAAAATGATTTTGTTTTTGATAAAAATCAAATTTGCCAAAACGGCTTAGGTGTCATTTTCATTACAAAAATCTACAAAACAAGTTTATCAATGGTATGTACCATAGGGATTAAAGGTGGGGTCAATTTTGGGCCCCGACTTTGATTCCTTTTAATTTTTTGCCATATGTAGATACATAAAAATAGTCAATAACTGCATAAATGATAATACTACTGATATCCGTAGTGCATGAATATGTATTCTGCCAGAAATACTCGAGGTTGAGACTGTGTTATAGACAAAGATATGCATTTTTTTTTAAAACAATAGAATAATTATAAAACTATTAACCACTTTATTAAAGCCCCTGCAACAAAGTTAGGGGGTATACTGGAATCAGCTTGTCTGTCCGTCTGTCTGTCCGTAGAAAAAGTTTGGCAGGACTCTTTCTAAAGTAATGGACCAATTTCAACGAAAGATTTCAGATATGATTACTTCCACCTGAAGTTGTGCATCCAGGTATTTTTTTTTCATTCTGACCCTTCATTTTACAAAGTTATGGCCCTTTGTGGAAAAACTCCTCCAAAACAATGGGGCCAATTTCAACGGAAGTTTACAGATATGGTAACTGCCCCCGCCATTGTGCATTCAAGTAGTTTGTTTTTATTCCGACCCTTTAAAAAGTTGTTATGGCCCTTTGTTGGAAAATGCTTGTCAAGACAATTCCTCCAAAACTGTGAGGCCAATTTCGATGGAAGTTTACAGATATGGTAACTGCCACCTGACATTGTGCATCCAAGTAGTATGTTTTCATTCCGAACCTTTAAAAGGGAGTTATGGCCCTTTGTTGGAAAATGCTTGTTAAGACAACTCCTCCAAAACTGTGTGGCCAATTTCGACGGAAGTTTACAGATATGGTAACTGCCTCCTGACATTGTGCATCCAAGTAGTATGGTTTCATTCCGAACCTTTAAAAGGGAGTTATGGCCCTTTGTTGGAAAATGCTTGTTAAGACAACTCCTCCAAAACTGTGTGGCCAATTTCGACGGAAGTTTACAGATATTGTAACTGCCCCCTTACATTGTGCATCCAAGTAGTATGTTTTCATTCCGAACCTTTAAAAAGGAGTTATGGCCCTTTGTTGAAACCTTTGTCTGCCTCATAAACTACATGGCCGGTTTCAATTAATGTTTATAGATATTGTAATTAACCCCCGATGTCGTGCATCAGGGTAGTATTTTCTTCATTTCGACCCTTTTTAAGGAGTTATGGACCTTTGTTAAAAAATGATTTGTCTTGACAACTCTTCCTTAACTACTAGTACGATATCAACAAAACTAGTTAATCTGGACTATCAAGATTTGGTGTGCACCACTTACCAAATATCATGACCCAATGACCTTTGGTTATGAAGAAACACAAACTAAAGGAAAAGTGAAAAGAAAACTATGTTTTCCTTTTTATTTTATCAAAAGTGTTCTATGACAAATTTATCGGTTGTTAATGTTTTTACAATTCCTGATGTTGAAAGATAGTATTGGTAGCCAACTTATGAAGTATGAAAAATAGTAAAAATATGTAATTCATCGTATCAAAACCATTCTGCTTAAATCTTCAATGAAAAGACCAATTCTTTCTTGTTATAATCGGTATCAATATAACAGTTGGAAAATGTTGCATACTATGATGATATACTATTATAGTAATTGTGTGTCATTGAAATGCTCTAGGAGGACTTTAAACACCCATACTGTTGTAAGTCAATGAGGTCCCATTTATCATAAAATAAATTCTGAAACTAACTGTTTCTGATTTAAGCTTCCTTTATTCATTCCTTTTTCGATTTTTCTTGTTTTGAAATTCCAAGCGGGGGCCGACGCTGATATGAAATCTCCATAGCCGTTGCCCCTACTTTCGAAAAAGGGCTCATTCAAAATCGGTGTCCATACACAACCTCTCACGGTTCAAGTATATTACGAACACTAAACATTCACATCATCCAATGTAGTGTATCTTATTACCTGCAAGATAATGTAATATGCAGTTAATTAGACCAAATCTGATGGGTATATTTGACAAGCTAGTTCACTGAAATTGGTCTGCTGACTCACACGCTTACTGCTACTTGTCGTGTGTGAGACTGACAGACGCCGTCAGATTTCGTCTTCGAAGTGTCTATTTTGTGTCATTTCAACTAATTTGTAATACTTATTTTTCTTACCTTTACTGAATCTTGATACTATATCTTTTGCAAAAACATATATTTATAGGCGTTGTCTACCTCGGCACCCGTCCTTATATGACCCCTGGCCGTTGCGAGGATGTTTAACCCAAAACTAACGAAATAGCGCTTCATTTCTTTGTTAATGCATTTATATTAGATATTTCAAGAGTTTTTAATCCATATCCCAATCATCATCGCTGGATGAAGTATCATTTATTTTTTAGCTTCCGCTTCTTTCTTCACCCTTCTGTTTTTCTGGTATTTTATTACCTCTTTGTCGTTGTCCGCACACACACAGTATCATAAGTCAACGACAGCCATCTTTAAATCTTACTTCCGCTTTTGCTAGCCCAGAAGGTTGTCGTTTTCAAATATGAGTTATTTCCGATTCGATTTCTATTTTGTTTGATGTACTGCAAGTGTTTTACGTTTTTTCTGTGTCTTGATAAAGGAACGGATTGATCCGAACATTTGACAACCACTTACTGTCTACACTGTCGGAATTATGTCCTTACCCCATATAACAATTTTAAGTATTAGTATCAAATAAACATACGTTTGTACGGATCCAGTGTGATACTACCTGATATCACTTCTTTGACCTTTATCTTTACGAAATGATCAGAGAACAACTTCGTTCCTTGAGTCAGCATCCGCAGCAAAGAGTCCGTGATATTGCAACGACCGGAAAGCATATTCTATTAATGCATTTTGACCTTTATCTATAGATACACTAGACCACTGAATGATGTCGACAGTTCGGACTAAACAAAGTCGAATTTTCGGAGAATCCGGCTTTGTTTTCAAGAGATAAAAAAGACAGATAGCGACTAACTATACATGACAAAAATACACATGAAAATATAAAACAAAAACAAAGACTTTTTTTCCCAAAATGATTCCCGAGAATTCCTATGAAAAATTGGACGAGTCGTTCTAAATAGCTAGCCCGTTAAAGCTTTATCGTTCACGGTATACATACAAGGAAGGGATTTAAAAAAAAAAAAAAACTTGCTATGGGGAAGTATTCAGAATTGTTTGAAGTTGAGATTAATATGAATATGGTTTAGAATAGGTGTTCCCCTACCAAAACAACAAGACATACAATTGTAGATGTACCATATGGCAATGACAGTTACCCTGTCTGGTTTGGGGAGTTCACACTCTCATTGTTATCTCTGTGTCCTCCACGACGGACCTGGTCGCCACTAGCTGCATAGTCATGTAGCATTAATTTGAGGTTTTTGAAGTAAAACCAATTTTCATGATGTAATACTTACCATAACTTTAGTATGCATATACAATACCTACACCCATCTTTGTAGCCCAAAAACAAAAGATTCAAATATCCCTACCTCCCTACCGTGACGTAACCTCTATCTCGATGACAGAGCCACGGAGTGATCTCCCTTCCTCAAACCCCCTTTTATGGAGCCTAAAGGCAGCCAGGATGAGGAGGCAAGGGGAGGAATACAGGGTGGGACTCCATAAAGTTATGGTAAGTATTACATCATGAAAATTGGTTTTACTTCAAAAACCTCAATTTCATTTCAGTAATAATTACCATAACTTTAGTATGCGAATTCGTCTTACCGTAGTGGAGGCTTCGAATCCAGGCAGACCAGGCTGACGGAACAAACTCGAGACATGCTCAAGGTAGGGAAAAGGTTCAAGGAACCCCCCTAATAAAGCCCCGAAAGTAATTAAAAAATGGAAAACCTCCCCGTGAAACGAGCAGGTGTACCACCGTGGTGCCTGATAGCATACTATTTAAAATCACTGAATTACTGTGGAGGAACAGCCACAGACTGTGCAACCACCACCGGTCCAAGGGAATACAATCCATCAGAATGAGAGGCCAAGGACCGGAGATAAAAATCCGTGAAGGTAGTCTGTCCGCGCCAGAAAGCTGCGGACATGACCTCCTGAAAGGGGGACCCATTGAGGAGGGCCCATGACGCAGCAAGGGCCCTGATCTCATG